TCCAACGATAGCTGGTTTGGAGACCTTCACGTAAGGGCCCCTTAGAGACACGCAAGACAAACGCATAAAGAGTTCTGGGAACTTATTGAGCCCAGAAGGGCGCCGTCGACGGCGAGAGTCACACACTCAGCACCTAGAGAGCAAGCTGAGGGACCAAGACGCCATCATTAGAAAGATAACAATGGAAACGAAGGCCATAAAGTGCCAGTTAAAGGGAACGTGTGTTGCTGGAGTGGGAAACCACAGTGAGCGCGCCTAGGGGTGTAATTTTGGCCCGTGGCCCGCGGGCGGCCCGAGGTGGGCCCGACCCGTTAAGACCTGAGCCCAAGCCCAACCCGATGCCTTGGGCTAGGGCTTGGGCCATCGTTTTGAAGCCCGACCCGGCTCGTGGCCCGGTCCATTGGCTTGCTCAAGGCTCGTCCAAAAGCCCGACCCGAGGCCCGGCCCACCCGATGCCCATTTTTTTTAATGAAAAATAATAAAATTTTGGTGGGAAAAATTTTAAAAAATTGTTTAGGCCCGCTCAAAGCTCGAAACCAAGTCTAAGCCCATGGGCTCGGCCTGAGGCCAAGCCCATTAGCCCTCTCAAAGCCCGAATATCCCTGGGCCTGGACTAGGGCCTGGCTTTCTGGCCCCTGGGCGGCGCGGCGCGGCCCAGTCCGATTATTTGGCCAGAGCCCGCAAGGCCCGACATGGGCCGGGCTGGGCCACAATTACACCCATGCGCCCAATCCCACCATTTTGGTAGTCGAATTAGGCGGTCAACTCCTTCACTTGATGACTCAGTTGTGCCGGTGGATGTTTTGTTGGTTTGTTTTACCAAGGTTGTCTATAAAACTAGTGCACATAGTCATGGTTTTGTGTGTACAACAAAAGGAGTGTTTCTTATGAAAGTGTTTCATTAATCTCACCAAAATTACACATAATAGGGAGAGGATTTGGTGTCAATGTTGGTGGTGTTTGGCAAGTTGGGTTGGGGCTAAAATAGCCATAAAAGACAAAACAGGCTGTTTTAGCCACAACAAACAAAACATCACATCCAACCCATAATCATTACACTCTTCTCTCACAAAAAAAATCAAAAAAGCCAAAAAGTCAAAAAGCCCTTCCCAAACCAAACTTTTTAGCCTAGGCTAAAATAGCCAAAAAAACCAAAAAGCCAAAAAGCCAACCCACTTCCCAAACGGAGGCGTTGTGTGTGATACACAACGATGACTATTGTGCAATTCGTAAGACTTATTCTAAGTCCTATTTTAATAATATATATTGTTCAAATTTTAAAAAATATCAAAAATAATATATTTATAATATATAGAGTTAATCGGATATTATTTTTTTTTATCAAATCACATTATATAACATGTCTCTTTTCACAATGAATGCAAATCCATTTAAAAGGTGGTAATTTATAAGAATGTTTTGTCTCTAACTAGTTAATAAAATTTAAAATAATTATACATTCTGTACACCTTGTAAAATAATACGAAAAGTTTGTCCAATGAAAATTGAAAGGGGACACTACTGTTCAAAAGAAAAGGAAGGAAGGAAGGAAGGAGAGAGAGAGAGAGAGAGAGAGAGAGGCATCTGTCCAATGAAGTAGAAAGGGTGCACTCAACTATACACCTGGAGAGAGAAATAGAAGCATCTTATCATGTAATGTCTACGATGAATTGGTTAGTTTCTTGAGGTCTCTTCTTGAGGTCTCTTTTGGAAAAATAGTTTTAATAAAAATAAAATAAAATTAATCTATATTAAATTATATTATTACTCTATTTTTATATATATATATATTTTTTAAAATTAAAAAATTAAATTTTAACAAATTTTCCAAAAGCAACCTAGTCTTCAAAACTCCCACACTTGCTGTCTTTTTTGGAATTTTGGGAAAGTAGCTTCTTATCCACCTTTTAGTTTTTTATTCATTTTGTGTTACATTATCTCTCACATTTTTTATTCATAAAAAAATAAAATAAACTAAAAAAATTAAAAAATCAACTTTTTATTAATTTTTCGAAACACTCCTTTATATGAGCATGGCTAACATGACAGGGCTGTGATCATCACAGCATGATCATGGCCATCAATCTAAAATCTTGTGGTGGGCTTGATGATCAAGGTTTTTACCACGTTGAACTCCAAATTTTAACCATGGTGGTTATTTTAGTTTTTAGTAATAATAGGGACTTCACAAAACATAATATTCACAATTTCCACAATGATATGAATTATTCATATCACTGTCAAACATAATTTTTTAAAAAAATTTAAACAAATTAATAATTAATACATCAATAAAAATCATAAAAATCCTCCTTTATGGAGTGCCAAACATTTTCCTTTACGCTGTGTTTGGTTGGGGAATTTGGGAAGAGAAATGGAAAGGGAAATGGAAATGAAAGGAAAAGGAGAAAGAATTAATAGAATTCCAAATTCCAACTATATTTGATTGTGTTGGTTATAAAATAGAATTGATGTCCTAAAAAGTATCATATTTCTTTATTTATTTCTCACCCCTTTTCTTTTCCCATATATTTTTTATTATGACCAAACATAAATAAAATTACATTTCTCATTTCTTTTTCAAATCTCACCTCAAAAACTCCAACCACACACCGCATTAGTCTTTCACTCCTCCTCGTGCTTTCGTACTCCCAAAATATATTTTTATAAATTGATGATGGTGACAATAGTGTCGTATTGTAGTAGGTGATGGCATCAAGAATACAGCTGTTTTGTAGGCTTTTGAAATTTGTAACCAAGTTCTCCAACCTTTTTCTATAGTAGTTGGGATGTTACGTCTTGTGAGTACGTGTATATATATAACAACAATGATTCATCCCACTAAAAACATCATCATTAATAGCACTAATGCATTAAAAAAGTTAAAAAAATAAAATAAAATACAACTTTAAGACCAAAACATCACATCATTAATGGCAGGACCCACTGCCACCTAATTAGTGAGAGCACTAATTAGTGCTCCCAAACATTTTTCTATATATAATGGGGGCAGCATGTCTCCAATTCTTAATCAAATTGAACGGTACTATTTAGTGTTATGAATCTCGTTTTAATAATTAAATTGTTTAATATATAAAATTTATTGAATATTATATGTTTGTAAAAAATTATATTAATCGAATATTGATAGTTATCTTATTTTATCAATTTTTTATTAATCGTTAATTTGTTCACCGTCTATTTTTTTATACAAAACTAATTTGATCACATAGCTATCAATATCAAATCAATGTATTTTTTACAGACATATAATACTCGACTAGTTCTACACATTGAACGATTTAAATTATCAAAACAAGATTCATGATGGGCTCCTATAAGCCGAATAACTTTGTCCAGTCCAATTAAAAACCGGAGGCAAGGTGCTTCCATATATGATTTGTTTGTATTTAGAGTGCGCTTAAATTAAGAATTTGAAAAGGAATTTGTCAAAGGTAGAGATGGGAAGAGAATAATTTATATATATATATATATATATATAAAAGGATTCATGTAGTTACGTGTGGAGAAGAAGGACTCAGGTAATCGATCTCATTTGATGGAACTTAAGACTTGATTTGATTATATAAATATATATATATATATATATATCATGAAAATACATTTTCACCATCTATGCTCACTCCTTTTTTATTTATTTTTTCAAAAATAAAAACGTTACCAAGCAAGTCCGAAATTTTGAAAGCCAAAAATAGTTACCAAATGCATTGTCATATTTAATTTTCAAAAATAATAAATAAATAAATAAATATGTTGCCCTTTTAAGAAGTAGTGGATTACAATCCCCTTTTTCCAAGGTTGCAATAACTGTAATTAGTGGTGGCTAAAGGACAAACTTGTTGAAAGAGATTGAGAGGTAAAGACTATATCAAAGGTCCATCCCCACCATCCAAATCATATCCTTAATGAGGCCAGGGAAGGTAAATGAATGAACCCTAAACCATTCCTTGCATTAAAAGCATTTATGTTTTACGTTTATGCAGTTTTCAGGCAAGCTCATTTTGAACTGTGTAGGACTGCAATTGGAGGCTCAATTACAAGTGAACCAAATATATGAGCTAATCAAATAGTATCATCATCATCATCAATCTTTCCAGATAGCCCGCCTAAAACAACCAGATTCAAAGACGTCCATTTAATAACCAAGCAAGGTTAAATTGGGCATAGACTGGACAATTCAACTCGACCAACTAAGATTAAATTGGGTATAGTTTGAACAAATGAATCCGATCAACTCGTTTACATTATTCAACACTTTTTTTCCAATGGGATGGTGGTGGTGGGAAGGCAGTGGCAACATCGGTGGGGAGGCAATGATGGTGGTAAAGCATAGGCAATCTCTCTCTCTCTCTCTCTCTCTCCATATTTGGTTCTTGTAGCTTTCACATTAATGCCATGGCATCTTTAACACTTTTGTCTGGTAATTTTGATGATGCATCATCGTACATTTGGCAATAGGAAAAGGATGCGTGCTGTTTGGATGATGATGTATGACTCTACAAATGGAACAATGAACATTAAATGGAATAGGATGAGTTTAGTTGGACAATGAAGCGAACTTCAAACAATAATATGGAGGAAGATTGCAAGAATTAACGTAAGCCTTGTGCATTCATTCGATGTAGAAGAATACAAATATGTCCTCATCTCAACCACCTATCTTGTATAACCAACCATTTCAAAAGCACAAGATATGTAGATCACTAAAATGGGCAGTTTGAAAACACAGGATAATTCATACAATACAAAGATGAGTAGACAGATACTCATGTTCATTGCACAGGATTCTGTTATTCCAAACCTCTTTTCTACCGCATGATAAATCTCTCGGGTTCTAACTAAATCTCACGGGTTCTGATAGCGTGTCAGAAAGGGCAACAGAAAATCTGAATAGAGGATCCAATCTCCATATTTGTCTTCATTCACGTTAGTTGTTAATAAAAGAAGAATGACATTCTTTCTAACTAACCTCATGTGGCTTGACAAGCAAATAGGCATTCAATTTTTACCATCTCTAATCAACAATAACCCCCAACCTCCACCTTTTCCGGCGATAGAAGAGTTTACACTTGAATCTAAAATAAATCTGAAGACACTACTAACAAAAGACAAACCAAAACTGCAAAGCATGGTACACGAATTTCAAAATATACAAAAGATTGAGGTAACAAAGCATTACAGTAAAACTAGACTATAGAGTTTCGCCCAATCTGATTGACACAATATTCTACAAAGTAAGAACCAAACACCACAAACACCAGCTTCATCTGAGTGAAGGCATGAACTTTTCAATTGGCCTTTGTATTGGAGATGTTCCTCAGCCTCGCCTCCTCCGCTTCCTGTGTCTGTCATCACTTTCACTTTCACTTTCACTTCCACTTTCATCGTCCGAGATTGAGGACCCTGAATCTGCCTCAGAACTTGAAGCATCAGAATCATCAGAACCAGAATTCTCAGATTCAGACACGGGTTTCTGTTGTTGCATAATAAGACGCGGCATGTTCTTCAAGTACTCTCGCAAGTTCTCGGTAATGCCACCAAGCCCGATAGATGTGAAGAAATTGATGGCAAACCGTGTGTTCTTGGGATTATCCTTTGGGAAAATAGATTCAAAGGAGTCCTGCATAGTGGGATCAGAAAGCCGCTCATTCAACAAGCGAATTCCAAGGTGCTCCGACAATTCCTGCAACACAAACACACAAAGGTAAAATTAGCAGTCGGCTTCTGGAGACAAAATTCAAAGGAAATCTCCCTCTGGGATTTGCACCAAAGCCTACACTACAGGAATGGATTACATGGAGGTGGAAACATCCAGGAAAGAAAAGAAAAAGGGCAAACCATACAACTAACAATTTTAAGGGTAAATTACACTGACTGTCCTGAGGTTTGGAGAAAAAACAGTGAGCCCCACAAATTTGGCATAATTATATTGGAATCCCTTGAAGTTTTAATTCACACAACACTTTACCCATTTTTCATCAGTAATTCATTAGCCATACCATTAAAAAAAGATAAACTACAAACACACCTCCTGAAATTTACTTAAATTACAAATTACCCCTGCGATTTTAGAAATTACATTATGCCCTCTAAGATTTCTAATTTCATAACAAATAGGTCATCTTACTAATAAATCAAGTTAATTAACAGTTTTTAATAATATTAAAATTTTATTTCAATTAATAATTCAGATAATTTTATTATTGTATAGGTGAACAGTTAGAAATTTCATTTTTTCAATTAATTCTGTTAAACAAAAAATTCTGACAGGGAGTTATTTGTCATTTTTCAAATTACAGGGGACAATTCGAATTTTAAGCAAACCTCAGATGGTGTATTTGTAATTTACCTTTAAAAAAATAATGTTTTCATATCTTTTACACTGAAATGTTATATTTTACCTTATTTATCTTTATATCTTCACACCATATGTATTAATTCTAGTCCCTTTAGCCATAAGAAAAGGGAGGTCAATGTAATTATGCTAAAATTGAGGGGTTGTTGTATTTTCTCCAAACCTCAAGTGAGGTCTGTGTAGTTTACCCTAATTTTCAAGAAAAAATCTCACGTATAAAATCACATCCATAGGGAGGGTCAGCAGCATTATCATTTATTACCTTACTAAAATAACTGTAGGTAAACAATTTTTAGGCCCAAAGGAAACAAAATAATCTTGAAGGTGTACTATTTAGTTACCTGAAAGAGAATCTTAATGAAAATACGGGAAGATGAGGTAGTGTCCTCTTCAGTTAATCGTATATAAGCTAAAACGTGCCAAGGAAGAGCAAATGTGCCAAGTAAATGGGCAAAAAACTTGGCGACATTACGCAGCTTATTTGTCTCAAGGCGATGGATCATAGAGTACTGTTGCACAAAGCATTTCTCAAAATTTTCCTGGTGGATCTTGTTGATCATGCAGAACCGCTGACCCAAAAGGCCATAATACCGCAGATAAGTTCTCTCTTGACTGCAGCATTCCAACAGCATGATGCACAGTTCCATCTGCATAAGCCAGATTAAGACCTCAGTAAGTGTCCATACCGTTAAAACTTGTTGTAGGTTAACAAAATGATCAGCTAATTATGCAAGATTGTGTCATCTTAATTAGTTCTTCATGTTGCTTATTTCCATGTACATAAACAAAATGTATGGTCATATACAAAGGACAACAAAGAGGATAAAGAAAGAAATAGAAGAGAATGCGAATAGTGAGATGACTATCTTCCTAGTATGCATTTTGTATGTAACAAGAAGAAGCACATTATTTACCTCAAAACAACTACACATATTCAAAAACCCCCCATGTCAATGCGTAAATATCACACGAGTAACTAGTTTAGTGCATTTAAAAAAAACAAACATTTTAGTCCAGCCCACCCATCAAAAGGAAATATTTACCACCATACAATTGACTTAAATCATGTAAGAGATTATATCATGTGGTCATCAATGCACACCTAGGCAACCAACAAGAATATCAACTAGGTATTTTCAGCACCGGGAACACGCATGAATCGATGCTTAAAATATGAATCTAGCATTGCTTTAATTATATGATAAAAACTTTGAGGGATCACTTATATTACTTACCTCCTGACCTGGCTCTAGTTTAATTTTCAATAGTTTGTGGCCAGCTTCCTCAAAATCAACACTAGACATAATTGTTAGATAAATTGTCCTCCGAAGGTTTACAAGATTCGTCTCTGTCTCATCTTTTATTTCCATCTTCTCTTCATCCTCTTCATCAGATTCTTCATCATCCTCATCATCTGAGCCTGCATCTGAATCTGCATCTGCATCATCCTCGGACTCCTCACCGAGTATAGTCTTTTTCACTTCTTCATAGCGCTTCTCATTCTCCAAGAACTGTGGATCCGGCTTGAAAATATCTGGATGTGGGCAATAACAAGCATTAGAATGATATATAACCAAAGTTAAAACGGATAAAGGATATACATATACCTAAAGCAATCTCTGAGTCTATTTCCTCTTCCTGAAGAGAGATTTCATGAGTTAGCTGATCTTCTTGCTCAACAAGATCCAACTCTGGACGAACAGCTGGATATCCCTACATATGTACATAGACATGAAGCAGTTTAGGTTAAGACCATTCTTCACTGCTAAATACTCACAGAAACTAATCTACTAATAATCTACAAAAACAAATAAGACCGCACCTGAAACTTGGCTTTTCTTATTGCAAATAAACCTTCAATCAGAAATTGAACTCTTTTGTCAATTTCTCCTTCATGGAGAATCCCACGAAAACGCTCAAATATACCTGTACACATTAGAAAAAATTAAGACAATAATAACCACAAGAGACACCATAAGGAATAGGAATGTATATGAGTCTGCCAGCATGACAGTATGTGTACGGTTACTAGTGGAAGCATATGTTCAAGGGGAAAAAGTGAAAAGACAAGACATCCTTTCCTATGAAACAATACAGCAGATGGAATCTAACTAGAAGAACCGCCCAAAGAGAGGAAATGCTCATAAAGGATAGATGAGACTTCAAAACTCTCCAATATATCATCCTGTACTTTGAACTATACTGTAGTCTCCTTTCATGATAAAATTCAAATATCTAAAACCCTAATAGGAGGGTTAGCCTAACAACCAAAACGTAAAAATCCCCATTAGATTCTTTATAAACAAGAATCCTAAAATGAATCTCAAAATAGCAAAAAAAAATGACTCACGTGGTCCACCCCATCTAAATGGAACACTTGGGCTTGATTTAGTTGGAGATCACATTAAGATTTTGGTTTGATTGAGAAACAACCAACCACATTGACTGGAGCACTAAGAATGTGTTAAATCTTTATTTTAACCATGAATCCATGATTATGAGATTAATTTGGGTGTGTAGAGTTTAATTTAAGGTAAAGCAAAATTTAGAAACCAGAACCTAAATGGCCAGAGTAAAGTTTACATACAGATAGTAATAACAATAATGGGGTGTATGGTGGTGGGAAGATATGATTTCACAAATGTCTTTACAGCAAACATTAACACTTTAAGTGACTTAATATATGTTTTCGTGCCACCGAATAATCTCATTGCTTTTGAATGTAAAACAAAGCTACGCCTTTACACCAAAAGGAAGGGAAAAAGCTTTTTTATATGAGTCTAACAATGGAAAACAAGTAAAACGAAATAATTAACAGTTGATAACAACATAATGCAAAACAAAGAATCCGTAATTTAAACCAGACTGCACTATCAACATCTAATGCTAAGCAAAAGCTCACCGTGCAAGCCTCGGGGACAAAGGTCTTGAAGTATTGACCCACATTCTGTCACGAAACCCACTGCCACCTCCACACTGTCATCAGTAGGTTTGTCCAACAAGAGCGTTAGTAGCTCCAAAGCCACAAGCTCATGAACCACTTGCTGGTTCACAAGATGTGCTATGAATTTAACAGCTGCTAATAATTGGGGCTGTCAACAGGAAAACACCAACAAAGCATAAAAATGAGATGCAAAACAAAGTTAAACAATTTGTTAAACTAATAGAAAGAACAGCAATACAAAAAAAAATAAAAATAAAATAAAATAAAATAAAATTAGAGTGTTTCCGCAACCTTGTCATTGCGTTTGTAAGCTCGTTTGAGCTGCAAAATTATCCTCCTCAACAAAAGCTCACCCACTTCTGGGAACTTAGTATTCACCACAGCAACCAATGCAGCAAACACGTCTGTGAAACCTGGAGATGCCATTTGAGACTTCATACATGACCGACAAAAGAGACCCCTCCCGCGGATCAAATTCTCAGCGAAAAGCTCGGGAATTATGTTCTTAATGTTGATTGCATTCACTTTATTGACCAGTCCATTTATACTCTTCCTCAGAGCATCCCATGTTAACCGCTGGTACTCAACACTGCTCTTATCCTCCACCTCTTTCATCATCCTAGCTAGCTTGAATGGTGGGATGTATACTCCCCCACTCCTCCCCAAATTCGCCCCGTCTCCATTCAAGTTTCCTCCTTGCAATGCTGCCGGTGGCACATCTCCCTCCTTCTTCTTCTCCCTCAAACTCCAATTATCTTCTCGACCCCCATTGCCATCCTTCTCTCTCCTGTGTTTTCTATTGCCATCATCACCATCCCTTTCATCGCTCCGTCCTTGTTCCAATCTCTTGCGCTGGCCTTCCTTATCATCCTCATTCAAATCCCGACGCGAATGCTGGGACTTACCTTTGTAATCCTCCTCAGCTTTCCTCCTCCTTCTATGCCCATTTTCATCACCACTATCATCACGCCCACTCCTCCTCCGCCTCCTCTCCCTCTCCGAATGCCGGTCCTTTCCTCTATACTCCTCATCTCTCTCTCTATCCCGCTTACCCCTTTCTCTCTCTACCTTCCCATCCTCTTCTTCGTCTGAGCCCTTTTCGTACCTATCGTTTCTCTCTCTATCGTAACCGTTCTGATACCTATCATTTATCTCTATAACTCGGTTACCTCTTTCTCTCTCTACTCTCCCCTCGTTTCCACTCGATTCCCTTCGATCTCGTCGTTTGCCATCTCTAACCCTAATTTGCCCCTCCTCCTCATCCGAATCCGATGATTTGTTATCGTCTTCTTTGGTTCGATGCTCGCGACGACGACTGTTCGATTGCGAATTCTTCCTGTCACTGTAACGACGACGATCATCTTCTTCGGCCTCATCACTCGATTCGGTTCTGCCTTTGCGAGTCATGCTTGTGTAAAACCCTAATTGACTCTCGAACCCACTATGTAAAGATCAGAAACTGCCAATTCTCTTCTGCTATACTCGAAGTTTACAAACCCTAACACAGAGAGAGAGAGAGATGAGGGGGAGGGGGGGTTCTCACCGCACCGAAAAATAACTCCAATATAACGCACCAACCATTGGGCTAGGTTCATATAGCCTACAACAATGAATTGGACTGGTATCACCTGAGAAAAGCCCAATATTGGCCCAGAATGAAGACAGCTAAGGCAGCCTCTTGAGCCTCAAAATTTTGAAACAAAAACAGGGCCCAATTAATTTAAGCCCTTATACTATACATAGGCCGAAAGAGGGTCCAATCATAAGTAGATTTATGTAAGTTTAATTACGCTCCGTTTGTTATTTTCTAATAGTAAACATTTTTTACAAAAAAAAAAAAGACTTTTTCAGAATTTTTTTTTCTAATGTTTGGTGGTGGTGGTGGTGGTGGTGGAACAAAGGAAGTGGTATAGTGGTGGGTGACGGCAACAGTGATAGCCACAGTGGTCGTGGTGATGGTGGTTTAGTGGTGAAGATGGGAGTGGTAATGGTAGTGTGGTGATATTTATAAAATTTTAGTTTAGAAAACGTTTTCTTCCTTTTAGAAATAGAAAACATTTTTTGCCTAAACAGACTTATTTTTCATTGACCAAGTAAAATGTTTTCATTGACTTTTGTTTTCCATAACACCAAATACCAGAAAATATGAAAAATATTTTTCAAAAAATATTTTATGCTTAAACAAATGGAACATTAATGACTAGCGATTGGCACACTTGATATTCAAACAAGTAAAAATAAAATTAAATACTTATTATATATCGTATATCACTTAAATGGTAAAAACTTTCTTTTATTAACTTAAGATCCAAGGTTTAAGTCTTATTTATTTTATCTATCTAGTTTTTTTAAAACAAAAAAATAATGACATGTGATATAAAGAGAAACAAACAAAGATTTTGACACTAGATTTTTCATTCATTTAATATAATGGTTATATGTTTTTCAATTAAAGATGTGAGAAAAATATTACTCGAGTAATACTTTATAACAGTTTGTTTACTTTTTATTTGATATTTTAATTTTAAATTTTGTTTGGTTTTTTTCTCTTATGAGTTTGTGCTACGTTTCGCTTTATTCTTCACAAATTATAATTCAGTTTGTTTATTTTCATTCTTCAAAACATATTTTTCAGAAAAATTTTACTTTCTTATTTTTCGTATTTTTTTGTTTTTATTGAATTTTTTTAATATTTTAAGCAATTTTTTTTAATTTTTAGACATACCTAACATAAATACACATAAAAAGTATAATTTTTGTGAAAAAATCTTTTAAAAATGTTTATTTTCATTCTTCAAAACATATTTTTCAGAAAATTTTACTTTCTTATTTTTCGTATTTTTTTGTTTTTATTGAATTTTTTTAATATTTTAAGCAATTTTTTTACTTTTTAGACACACTTAACATAAATACATTTAAAAAGTGAAAAAATGTAAAAAAAATCTTTTAAAAATTCACTAAATACCAAAAATACAAAAAAAATACAAGAACTCAGTACATTTTTTATATTTTTATGTATTTATTAATTTTTAAAATATTTTTTCATAAATTTTTTACTTTTTAGATACATCTAAGTAAGGTGCATCTCAAAAAGTAAAAAAAATGTTTAAAATTTTAAAAATATTCATTAAAAACAAAAAAATACGAAAATCAAAATACTCAGTTTTCAAAAAACTTAATTCAGAAAATTCAATCCAAATACACTGATTACTGTTTGGATTACACATTTAAATAAAAAATAGAAATAATATATATATTTTTTATTTCCCTCACTTTTTCTTTTTCAAAAGGTACGTGCCAGTACAGTCTCTAAAAAACCAAGCTAGTTAAACTTTTTTAGATCTACATTCTCTTAAAAAACCAAAGCTAGTTAGCTTTTCTAGATCTATGCAACTCCAAAGCTAGTAAATTTTTTCTCTGTTAACATACAATCATGTAGTTGTTGAAGCCCAGTCAATTTAATTTTTCGTAAGATTGAGGCATAGTTTGGGAAGTTGGTTTTGGTGGGTTAGGGGTTAAAATAGTCAAAAAAAAATAAAATAGGCTATTTTAGTTACAAAAAATAAAACATCAAATCTAACCCATAATTATTAAATTCCTCTCTCACAAAAAAAATTAAAAAAGTCAAAAAGTCCTTCCCAAATCAGGCTTTTTAGCCCCAGGCTAAAATAGCCAAAAATTCAAAAAACCAACCCACTTCCCAAACGGAGGCTGAGCAACTTGACAAGTTCTCCAATTTGTATGGTTTAAATAATCAAAATAGATTCATGATAGATCTAAAACAATGTAAATTAGACCTTATAAGAGCAACTCTAATGTTAATCTTTATTTTTCATTAGCTAAAGTATAAAATAGGTAAATTTTTAATTTTACCTAATTAATTTTTATCTATCTGTTCAAACGCTACTCTTTATTTGACATATGTATCCACACAAATTAGGGGTGAGCATGATCCGGATTGGACCGGATTGGGATAAAACCAGAACCAATCCGTTATTTACGGTTCCTAAAAAATTGGAACAAATCCAATCCGTTTAAATCATGGAACCAATCCGAACCAATCCATTTAAATACGGATTGGATCGGTTTAGGACCACGGATTCACATAATTAAATAACAAAAATATATATATAACACTTGAATTTCATAAAAATATAAACATAGCGCTATATTAGTTCCATAATAGAATATGTTTTTCTATAATAACGACATACTGTTCTAGAATTTAAACAACCATAAGAAAACTGGTTTCACCATAAGTATTTAGACCATTGCAAATTAAAACTTAAAACTAACAAACAAAAGTAATAAAAGAAGATATTATACGATTTTAGGTTTGAGTTTAGATTTTACATAGAATAAGAAAAGATACTATGGGGGAGGATGTATAATAAAAATATAGACTATTTGTATACGGTCCGGATCGGTTCCAATCCGGAACCGTGGGATTCAATCCGGAACCAATCTGTGAACTATGGATTTTTAATTATTCAATCCGGAACCGAACCACGGATTCAAAAAACCAATCCAAACCTATCGGATTGGACTGGACTGGATCGGATTACGGATTTCACGGATTCCTTGCTCAGCCCTAACACAAATTAGTATAAAAAATCTTCAAATACTCTCCAAATATAGCTAGTCTACAAAAAACTTGTTAAAAGAACTATAGTACTAATTAGCCTGTTGAAATAAGTAAAATAATATAAAACTAACTACAATAATTAATAAATCTCTTTTAAAAATGCTCTAATTCAAAATTTAGACTAAGGCCAAGTTTGGCCACAAATGAAAAAGTGCACTTATTTCATCTTTTTATCTTTTTTAGGTCACATCAATCAACATCTCCTCTCTACTTTTTTTACACATAATACAAAAAAAAAATCAAAAAATACACTTATTTAGTCTTTCCAAACTAGGCCTAAAAGGAACCCTAAACTTTATAGTAACCCTATCAAAATAGATTATTTTCTTTCCCCCTTTTCCATCTCTACCTATATTCTCTTCACTTTGTAAACAAAATGTTTATAAGGAAACGACCTTAGCTAAAGTTAAAAGTTAGGCAACAAGTAGAAAACTATACTTAGCCCCCGCAATTTGAGAACAATTTGTCTAGTAATCATGGAAGGCACAGCTTTTAATTTATTAAAAAATACAAATAAAAAATATGATTGAGAATTTGAGATGAGTGGACCCATCTTTGTTCTCAAAACCAGGAGACTAGTGGGACCATTTTGGGTAATTTAACATTGTTTAGCCACACCCACACGTGAAGACATCTATGGCCTGTTTGTCTCAACTTTAATCAATTTTTTTTTAATTTATTTTTATCTAATAAATTATAAATAACAATTATACCAAATAATCTAACATTAAATTTTCAAAATTAAAAAGATTATTAGTATTTCAAATAAATTATACTAAACAGTCCCGTAATGCAGTGTCTTAAATTTAAAACTGCAGATGTTGGGGTCCATTTGGTTTGATGCATTATTACTAGTGATAATTAAATAATTAATTAATATTATTATTTTGTGATTGAACTGAAATTTTTTCTAGTACAATCCAGTCAGGTCTATAGTGTCCATAATTTATTTTGTATATTTTTTAAAGTTTGTGGGAAGATTATTAAAAAGGGTTTGGTTATGGTGTGCAACTTACACCTTACACCTTATACCTTACACTTACACCTTACACTTACACCTTTTGTAAAAAATTAAACCTTACACTTACACCTTTTTTGAGGTTGCACACCATGTGCAACCCACTTACACCTTACACCTTACACTTACACCTTACACTTACACCTTATACTTATACTTACACCTTACACTTACACTTTTTGTGTAAGTGGCAGATGGTGTGCACTTGCACACTTAAGAAAACTCCTATTAAAAAAAAATAAATCAATTTAATAATGGAATCATAGAATTTGATCAAATTTATTTATAAAAAAAAAAATTAATGTCAAGTATGATATTAAAAGTAAGTCCTACACTTCTTTGAACACTATAATAATAAAATTATATAATTATAGTTTCAAATCATTTTTTTTTTTTCTCTAATGAATAAACATGCCCACTAACCCCTAAAAAAATAAGTAGAGTTGATGATTGAAACCCGCCGTACAGGCCGGACTGGATCATCCCTCCCACCCAAGATATTTGTTTTTATTTTAAAATATTTGCCAAATACTTGGTGCAAATTGTTGTTTATGTACCAAAATAATTAAATAAATTTTATAAAAGAAAAAAAAAACTTAAATAGCCAAACAACAATGATAGAGATCCTTAATTTTGGAGCTCCCATAACTCCAAAAATGATCTATATGATATAAGCCTCACATATATACCTGAATGGCGTGATGAAGATCCCAAGTATTGGCAAATCTGCCATAAACAGTTAACAAAAATGATTTGAACTCCCACAGGAGAGGCACTCCCATGACCTCCTCTGGCTATGACTGATTAGTTTTAGTTGTTTTTTTTTTTTTTTTCTCCTCCTCCTCCAATCACCAGCCGCACGTGTGTGGGGGTGGTGATTGGAGGAGTATCAATCACTTCTCAACGGTAAAATAGCAACAAATTTATTGATATTATTAAACTTATTTAAAAAAAATACTAATGGAAATTTTTTCACAATTACATCTCTAACAAACTATTTTGAACTAAACCCCATTTTTAACCTTCGGCCATTAATTTATGTACACCGATTTAAATGTGTAAAAATAAAATATTACATAACCATAATCACTTTTGAAAAAAATCATTTTTTTTGATGACTCTTCTAATGATAGTGGAGATGACGGAAATGAGGTCAATACTGCTAATCTTTCAAAATATTCTCTCACATTAAATCCATTGGCCGTTAACTTTGCCGTTAGATAATCTTCTCCGTCTTCTTCTCGTGATGGCAAGAACGGTGTCCGTACAACCTCCGTTAATAAGTCCCACTTTACTCCACGAAAGAATTCGTGATGTTTGATCTCGGACGCGCCGTTAGAGAAGCCCATTCGCTTGATAGGATCCTTCTGTAACAGCCGTCCGATCAAATCCGTCAATGCTGACCTTTTCCCAGTGAACTCCGGTGATTTCATAACGACGTTGTGAAACGTTTCTTTTCGATTCTTTCCCTTAAACGGCGTCTTCCCATACATCATTTCGTACGCTAGTATTCCTAGGGCCCACCAATCGACGGCGAACTCGTGCCCCTCGCCGGAAACCATCTCCGGCGACACGTACTCGTCCGTACCCACAAACGAATTCGACCTCTCCCCTCTCTCAAAACTCATTTTCCGGCGACTCACCGGCGAAACACGAGCACTTTTTGCTTTCTTCAACGCCGAACCAGCCGGAAACTTCACCGGAACGAACCGGGCCAGATTCCGGCGGTGTTTACGGCGAGGTTTCTCATCCGGGTCGACCATAATTGGATTCGCAATTCTGGGTCCGAGGCTACGAGAGAGATCAAAGTCGGTTAGAGTTATATGACCCGACTGTTGAATCAAGACGTTCTCGGGTTTGAGGTCTCGGTAGACGATCCCCATGCTATGGAGGTGGTCGAGAGCGCAGATGATCTCAGCCAGGTAGAACCGGATGACCGCCGGAGAGAACACGTGGTCGGTCTGACGGTATCGGAGAACATTGAGATCGCCACCGTGGCAGTACGGTACTGCCCAACCCAGAAATTCCGGAGTCTCGAAAGATCCGAGTAAATTGGGGAGAAATGGGTGGGTGGGTTTGCTTAAACGGGTCAGGACGGAGAGCTCCCAGCGGGCACGGCGGTCAGCGGCGTGGAGAGAGCATTTCTCGACGACTTTGAGAGCGAACGGGCAGCGGGCAGACGGGTCGAGTGACTGGTCGTGGACAAGAAAGACCGTGCCCATGGCTCCTTCTCCGAGGACTTTGATGGCTCTGAGATTGTCCAGGTCTAATTCCGGCGAAAATGGCTCCATTTTAGAGAGAGAGAGAGAGAGAGAGAGAGAGAGAAAGAGAGTATGAGAGAGAAAGAGTGGTGGTGTTGAGGTTTTTTGGTTTGGATTATATACTTTTAAGCTATTTTTGTTTGTTTCCCAGGAAAATAGTGTCTTGTGTACAGATGATAGATACAGGTGCATGTATGTCTATATCATGTAGTATCATTACTGGAGGAGGTGGGACCTTTTCTTTTTTTTTTTTTTTTTTTTTTTTTTGAGGGGATTGTTAGTGAGGGGATTAAGTAAAATTGTGTTTGTTTTGATGATAGTTGTTAGCATAGGAATTGTTAAATTATTTTTATATAAATAATAAAACAAATAAAAAAAATACAAAAAATTAAACATTAATGTTCATAAAAAAAATGTTCAACATATAAAAAAAATTAAAAATATATATATAGAAAAAATAAAAATAAATAAAACAAATAAAATTATAATTTTTATTTAACAAAAAATACAGTTCAAAAAAAAATGTCTAACATATAAACAAAATTTTAAAAAAAATCCGACAAACTATTTTTCTAATAACAAATCCCAAGCCTCCATCTTAAAATCCTCCCAAAGGCCTATACTATATTAGGAGTCATCTTTTCATCTCTCAAAACAAACATAACATACAATGGGTCTCGCCTCCATTTCAATCTGAATCCCAACTCTAACTCCCTAAACAAACAGGGCCATAAGGTATTAATTATTTATGTTTGGTTATTGAAGAATATGAGACATATAATAAATAGTAATTGATAAATAAATACAATCACGTAATACTTCGGGAGTATCTAAAATTTTTTCTGTCTTTTCGGGAATTTTGTTAGTGTACAATTCAATTATTAAATGGGGGGAATTATGAGTGAAAATATAAAATTATTTTAAAATATATATATAATAATTTTAATTATTATTATTTGTAATGTTTATCACTTTTTTATAAATATTTTTTTTATGTGTTTCCACTTGAATGTAATTGTCCCTTATTAAACTAGTAAAAATTATTAATTTATATTTATTACGATTAAATTTTATGTTTACATACTTATGTGATAAAATATGATCATATACTTGCATTTGTTAGAGAACCTTCAATGTAGAATCAAATATTTCATTAAATTTGAGTACAAAATTAATAATAAAAATTGATTTTATACTGTTCACTCTAATACTAAAATTAAAATTTTATCAAATTTTTTCACATCTCTGGTTGTTTAGGAGGATATCTGGGTGAATGTCTTGAAAGTCATCTAGACATGAACAAAAAAAACTGTCAAATAGCCTTAGGTGGACATCTGGCCCAACAGTAACAATTTAAATTTGATGAAGGATCAAACATCTCTACATTTGATGAAATATCTGCTTCTCTCTCCGTTTGATATCACTTTGGTGAAAACGTTGGAACTCATTTTTTAAAATTGTTTGATCAAATTTGAATTTGATGACATATTTGAGTAAATGTTGGAGATGATCTTACTTATCATAATTAATAGGGAGAGTTACGAGCCGGTTCTATGGACCGGTCTTATTACCCAGCAGGTCCTACTTAAAAAAATCAAACAGTGTTTTTCATTTTTACCCCTAGACTCAACACTGCAAATTTATCACCGGTTTAAATAAATTTATCATTGGTTTAAATAGATTTATCACTGACTTGAATCCACTTGAACTGAAGAGAAGCCCATATGCCGATCAAGAAGCTAGCCTTGGCGCAGACGAAAGCGGAGAGGAGAGCGAGAGGAAGGGAATTGAAGGTGGAGATGAGAATGAAGGTGGAGCTGAATAAGGCGATCTGAGTGGAGATGGGGAATAACCAGACGACGAAGAAAGAATCGGGCTTGAAGTCAAGGGAATCAAGGATGTAAACAACCATGAGTCCCAATGTCAAGGCAACGACGACAGGTGTGCTGCTAAGGTCGAGGAGAAAGGCAGCGCAGGGTACTAGGGCGACAGCGATCCTAGCGTTGTGGGCAAACGAAGAAGTCTCTCCCAAACTCGCTTTTACATCACTGCCGATGCCGACACCGAACTACCATCACCGAGCGGTGACAACGATTCTTGATTCTCTTTCCGATGCAGTGACAACGATTTGCAGCTGTGGAACAAATCTAGATTCAAATGTGAATCGAAGGTCAATTAGAGATCAATTGAAGCTCAACCCAATCAGTTCAGAGCTTAATCGATGCTCAACCAATTCAAATATGGGTTCAATGATATGGGTTTCCATGTTCATGGTTCAATGATTTGGGTTTTCATCTCCAGATCTGAGTATAAAAACATGAGGGTAAAAACGGAATAAAAAAAATGTTCAGGACCTATAGGTGAAAGTGTCTCCATTAAAAGACCTGTTGGGTAATAATCCTTGAAAATAGGGCTGGCCTGTAAAAATTACTAATTAATATTGGTAGTTGGTTGGTCCATAAGGGCCCGTTTGTTTTTAGACTTAGGTTTGATAGGATTGCCAGGGTAAGAATTGTTAGTAAGGAAATTGTTGGTGATGAGACTAAGAAAAATTGTATTTATTTGATGACCACCAAACTAACAATTATGATAGAATTAATTATATGAAATTCTATAAATACTCTTAAGACTCGTTTATTTTCAGATGTAAAATAAAGGGGATTGTTAGTGAGGGAATTAAGAAAAAAATGTGTTTATTTGATAACCAATAGATTAGTAATAGTTCATGTTTATTTTGAGAGATAGGAGTGAGATTAACCATGTAAAATTCCACAAATACTCTTTGCATTATTATCAAATTTAGGCTTATACCAACTAAAGAATAAATAAATTTTTACTCAATGTTATTCTTTTTCTTTTTACTTTTTTTTTAAAATATTAAAAAATCCAACTATCAAAACTTTTTTACTCAATGTTTTTTTTTTTAATTTTAATATTAATGAATCCAACTATCAATAAATTTTTACTCAATGTTATTCTCTCTTTTTATTTATTTATTTGCAAATATTAAAGAATCCAACTATCAATCAAATTTTACTCAATTATTTGTGTTTAATATTGCATGAGTCATATTATGAGTCTCATTCCAAGTATTATAACAAATTTAACAATAAACACAAGAGCAAAATAGTCAATTAACTCATAGTCCCAAGGAATTCATTTTTGAATACCACCTCCCTTAGGCCCTAGTCCACTATCCGAGGCCTTTCATAGTCCTGAGAGACTATGAATCTCGAGGTCCATTTTGAAAACAAACATGATAATTGTTATCCCCGCTTCATTATTAGTCCAACCTTGACACCTACCTCTCAAAACAAACAGGCTCTTAGTATTTTTTATATATTTTAATATTAAAAATTATATTTCATATATATATATATATTGGATACTATATATTTTTTATATAATTTTTTTTGTTATAATTTTTTTATTATATTTTAATATTAAAAATTTAAACCGGGGTAATATCATCATTTAACATGTAATGCCTAGGCTTTATTTCCTATTACTATCTCCCCGACCTCACTTATAAACCCACAGGCCCCGTTTGTTTTCAAAGGTAAAATTGAGGAGATTCATAGTGAGAGGATTAATAGGGGATTAATAGTGAGAGGATTGTTAGTGAGGGGATTGATAGTGAGGGGATTAAGTAAAATTGCGTTTGTTTTGATGATAGTTGTTAGTGTAGGAATTGTTAAATTATTTTTATATAAAATAATAAAATAAATAAACAAATATAAAAAATTAAACATTAATGTTTAAAAAAAAATTCCCAACATGTAAAAAAGAAAAAAAATTATAATCCCCTCGCTATTTTTCCAATACCACCTCCACCTCCACCTCTACCTCCTCCATCTCAATCCCCCTTTCAACCTCCATCTTAATCTCCCTTTCAACCTCCATCTTAATCCCCTCTTTCATCTTAATCCCTTCCCCAACTCTATAAACAAACATAATACTAAATAACCTCATTTCCATCCTAATCTCCTCCCATCTATTACACTCCAAAACAAACGGGGCCATAGTAGAGAGTCTTATCGTATTGTGTGGGGACTATTGTCATGTTTGTTTCGTGATTTAAGTGGTCAGATTAGACTATCATGGCTATAGGTCTCACCCACAGTATATTTGATAGTGAAATAGGAGGGCAGATTGATAATCCAAGGAGCTTAGTAATCCTCCTCAGTATGAGGATTAGCTTGGCTGAGTTTTGGACGAGATTTGAAAAATAGTGAGAAGATTACGTCTATTTTATATAAATATTTTATTTTATTTTATTTTACCAATTGCACTTATTTGTTTTAATATTTATTTTAATTTTTTCAATATAAAAATAATTTATTTATTTATTTTATATAAAAAATAATTTAATAATCCCATCACTAACCATCTTCCATATTGTCATCAAAACAAACATATTTTTTCTTAATTTCCTCACTAATAATCCCCACATTAACAATATCTTCACTAACCATCATCTCGCTAATAATCACATCCAATCTAATCAGCCAAACAAACGTAGCCTATGAGTCCAATGCTATAATTTGAAAACAAATATGATATCAGCAAACTCAACACACCAGTAGTTACTAGGTCCATCTTCGAAAACAAATCACTCTGTTTGGTTTCAGTTTTTAAAATTCACTTTTTAGAAAATTTTATTTTTTTGTTTTTTGTATTTTATATTTTCACTGAATTTTTTTAATATTTTAAGCAAATTTTTTAATTTTTAGACACGCCTAATATAAATACACTAAAAAAGGTATAATATTTGTGAAAAAATATTAAAAAAAATCACTTAATACCAAAAATACAAAAAAAGAAAAAAGAAAATTCAATAGATTTTTCATATTTTTTGTGTATTTATTAGTTTTTTAAAATATTTTTTCACAAATATTTTACTATTTAGATATATCTAAATGAGGTGTATCTAAATAAGTAAAACAATTGCTTAAAATTTTAAAAAAATTCACTAAAAACAAAAAAAATATGAAAAATAAAAAATTTAATTTTCAAAAAACTGAAACCAAACACACTGAATAAGACCCCAGGGTTGTTTGGAAATAAAAATAATAAAAATAATCATAAACCTTTAACGT